CTTCCCTTTCACTTTGGGTGCATCTACATGAAATGTCTACTATGGAGCTGCCTAATTAGCTCCGCAGTAAAGTCTCAGTGTCTACACATGGGGCCCTATTAGACTACAGGAAACTAATTACACTGTGTTAATACAAGGACTACACTACAGCGGAGTTCTTTAGTGTGCAGCAACACACGTATAGACACTGCTAGGGCTGGCTTGGGCATGAAAGTGCTTCATTGAGGGGCTGCCTGCTGACTAGCTCCAGACTGGAGCACCCTTGTTCCCCAGCTAGTCCCTCTCCAGCATGCTGATCTGGGCAGAAGCAGCCCTGAGCTGGCAGGGTGACACCCTGGGTCCCCTGCCAGCCAGGGCTGCTCCAGCCTGGCTCAACATGCTGTATTCCCGGGCACACGTTTAAACATGGCTCCCAGGAGCAATAAACTCCAGCACAATATGCACCAGAGCTTATTGCTCTATGCTAATCACACATGTAGATGTGCCCTGTTTGATGTGACTAAATGGACTACAGTTAGTTACAAAGTAGACACTTAGAGCTACTATGTAGTTAAGCAGCATTATAAAGCAAATAGCGGAGCTGAAAGATCCTATGCACCTAATGGAGACACAGATAACCAATAGCTGCTATAACATAAGCAACAGGCTAGAGATCTGGACCTGTTTTGCATCACATAGTTAAACAGATTATCCCCTTATCTGGGATGCATGCCAGTAGAGTACACTGTACCCTTTTAAAATCTGATCCTTTGTTTGCATGGTGCCCACTAGTTTCTACTAAAATCAGTTGCTCTTGCTTATGTATATTGGTAGGTAACGCCAGAGATCCTTTCCCATCTAGTTTTCCCCTCTACTCCCATCTAGTTTTCCCCATTTGCTCCTGTCTCATCACTGGTACCACTGCCAGACTAATCTGGTCTTCCTGCTCTTTACCTATAAGTGCATGACATAGGGTGTCTAGGGTGTATGAAGAGCAGTAGGGGTGTATGATTTTGTGGACTCTTTTGGACAAATGGTTGCCTGTGAATGCAGCAGACTGGCCTCAAAGACCTGGGGGCCCATTTCCAGTCTTATGTTTCTAATGTCACCAAAACATCCCACCCATCCCACCACTTTATCTGTGGTTCCTCACTGAAGAGGAAGGAATAGACTTGCTATTATATCTATTTGGTTGTAGTGTAAACATGACACCAAGGAAAAGTAAAGTCCTGCATAATATATGCTGGAGTTTATTGATAGACATTAATTGCACATGTAGACATGCCCAGTGGCAGCAATATCAGAGCTCTCTGTCAAGACTACATTTGCTCCTTGCACTGGAGTTAAGGGGCAGAAAAGGCTGTGTTTGCCTTCCTGCTACACACAGAACCCGGGACAGTCTAGCCATTGTGTGTGAAATCTTGTATTATTTTTACTGCCTTATTATAGTAACCCATTTAGGCTTCTTTTTCTCCAAAACTGATCATTTGTGTAAGTGTACGTCTGATTTGATTTGCTGGTAATACTAATTTTGATCCTGGATTCTGGTAGATTTAAAATTGCATGAAAGTAGCTGGTGATTATATCTTGCATCAGAGGGAGGGGACATACTAACTGGTAATTAATGAATTGTGCTAAAAAAAATCTTATTCATAAAGCCACAAAACACAGCGATATTAACCGTCATCCTGGCATCACTGTTGACTGCACAAATGCAGGAAGAGTATTTGTTTTACCCTTGCACTTCTTTAGGCTTTGGAATTCAATGCTTAACCATCCTTTGCTTGTGGCACCAGTCATACCAGATGCTGACTATACTGTGGATGAAGCTGATTCAGGATACTGTCTGAAAGTGACTTCCCTAAGAAAAAGCCATGAAGATGTATTGGTTCAGTGAAGCCTATTTGTACTAAAGTTGCATTTCAGTAAGAAAACAGACTGGCTTCCCTGTTAGTGGTAGGGTACCAGACTGAAAAGAATGTTTTGTTTAGAAGCCAGAATAATTAACTTCTGCATCCCCTAGCAGATCTGGCCCAGGGAAATAGGAGATATCGCAGTTTCTACAGCTACATTTGCTGCTGTGTGCTGACAGCACAGAGCTATAATTGCAATTGTAACATCTGCTCCTTCCTCTAATGCTTTCACCAGGAGTTCAGAAGCATCTGTCTGTCTTTCACTAGGCTGCTGTACACAGGAAATGTTTGAGGCTGTGTTTCTTGTTAGACCTTTTAGCATGGATGAATATCACCCCAACTGCTTCCTCAGGTTTCTACTCCTATTCAGCCATAGTTGTCAGTGGACTAACAACAATCAGCCTCCCTCATCCATCCCAAGAATTAGGACACTGAACTATTTCCACTGCTATTTCCCTGCCATCTCTTCAAGCCTTCTGCCACCCCAGCCCTCCCTGGCTTGTACTGAGACTACTCTCTTGCACTTGTGCCCCCTATTGCAGCTGCTGCTTGCTGTAAGAGTTAAAATAAAGGGAAGCATGAGAGTGATGAAGCTGATACCAAAACCTTAAATTCAGCTGTTTCTAAAATTCAGGAGGTGGAGGAGGGTATAAATATAGATTTAGATTTTAAAAGGTTTTGCTGAACTGTATTGTAATAAGTGTTAAAACTCTTTCAATATTAAATATTCTTTTATAATTTTTTTATAATTCAGATGTATATTTAAACATACCATTTCACCATGGATGTTCACTATGAAATGGAAACTGGGAAGATACTTTAAAATAGGCAGGAATGTTTTTAAAGACATTTTAAAAATGAAAAATTGGTAATTTATTTATTTTTCTAATTAAAGACTAAAACTTCATGCTTTAATTAAAAACCTTTGGACAGCATAAATATCCTAAGAAGAAAATAAAACTTCTGTACTGCAGTTTGGGGAGCTGAATTCTCAGCATGGTAGGCACTCTTATCTGTTGAGTGGCCTCAGTGTTTTCTTTTTCAGAAAATGTGGTATCAGGAATGCTGCCCTACTTATTTTATTAGGTAAACATATAGCCACTCAAATGGTGCTGGAATTTCAATATGGGTAACTAAAACCTAATTGTATATGTAATAGCATTTTATCAAAATAAGAGTAGCCTGGAATTTTTTTATGAAGAACTTGGGACTTCAACTACATTTATAAGCATATCATAATTAGATATTTGTACTGAAAGGAATTTAAAAATACTGATTCTGAAATGAATGGGTACCATGGATTTGACAATGTGGCTGCACATGCATTGTATATGTGAGTAGCTGGGTATCCGTATTCTGTTGGTGTCTACCACATGGATATAGGAAGGTTATAGAAAGAATTTCTGTAGTCAAGGGATGAAACTCTGACCTCATTGAAATCAGTGGAGTTTCTTCATTGCAGTGGGATGGGATTTCAGTTGAGGTGAAAGGAGACGAAGGCAAAAATGAGTGAAGGTTGGGCTGTGCAGGGATAACATTAGAAAGGATGTGTCAGGCAATTCTGTAAATATAGAAGATAAGATAGAAATAAAGTTCAGGCTTAAGATACGGTCAAGGTTATGAATAGAGGTGGTAAATTGGAGATCTGAATGCAGGGAGACAGAAAACCCCTGAGAAGTACAAGTACCTTTAGAGATATTTAGCTGAAGGAAGATAAAAATGTGTTGCAGCGTAGGTCCAACTTTTGACTTCCCTAGTCAAGTGAGTAATCCTTGTCACAACCCAAAGTTGTGGATTTTTTGATTGTGTGTGCTTCGGCACCGCTAAATTATGTTCCCGCCGAATTGCAGCTCTTTTGCACGACGGAGTGTTCCGTTGTTATAGAGAACCCGCGTGCAGAAAAGTGTTTCCCGCCGTTTTGTAGCCTTCTTTGCATTGTGCATTTCTCTTGCATTATAGTGATGCACACTGCAAAGGAGTTCCCGCCATTTGTATTAAGATTTGAGCCACATTATTGGCCGGTCTTAATTTAGGCACACATGGCGGCTATCTATTGGCTTGCTAGCCGTACAAAAGGCTTGGGTGGTTTCTGCCCAAGTTGGAGAGAGAGACGGAGAGACGGATCTCTAAGCGCTGTGGGTCCTTTCGAACCCAGCGCGTCTTTCTTAAGAAGGCGACAGAGGCTCCAATTGCCGAACCCCCGCAGCCTAGCAAACTCTGGGGCACCACTTACCGATGGCCTCTAGCCTATCCCCGTCACCGATCGCAGTCCAGACA